CTTGTAGATCAATCACTGGCTAAACTATGTCTGAAACAAAGTTTTAGTCAAAAAAGTTAAAATGTGAAACTTGGTTGCAACAACCTTTCAACCTTGCTGTAGCACTAGCTAATTTTTGTATTAAACACATCATTGCATTTTTTTGGACTTGTGATGTAAAACCTTCGAGTTTTCAGCTAAAAACCTTCAGCCCCGCTCCCTCATTTAGTATGCATAAAGCATGTTTACCTGAATATCTCTGTAGTGGTTTAACTAAATTTAGTACTTTAATTTTTAATAACAAGCAATTGCGCATACTTACCTATTGATACCAAACAACACTCGGGTTTGCACTGCTAACTTACTTTTTAAAATTATTTATTATAATCCAATTTTTGTATTGAGCCAATGGTTAGAAATTCTCTTTTCTGAATCAAAATGACTTTGCCTATAGACAGCTTTTGACATTTCTGTTGTTGGATAACATTGATATGTGTAGAATGATTTAGCATCAGTTCATATGGAAAAAATACATGTACATTACCAACCATTATGATTGCTTTGGCCAATCCAACACAATTCATTGTTTAATCACATCATTAATTGGCAAGTATTTGTCTTTCCATTCTCCTCTACAATAAATGAAACAATGAATTACTGACCAAAAAGACATATCCTACTCTCTGTACATGTACATGTATCTACATAAATGTAATGTACTATAGTGTGCATTGTGTTGTACAGGGCAGTTTATGGTAAATTGGCCCTGAGTTCTACAGTTCCCTTAACTTGTAAAGAGTGATTTAGCAAAGGATTAAATTTTAGTGGTTTGTGAAAGCATACAATTTAGTAGTAACAACTAGCAAGTATGTCACAATTATGCTATTGATTTTCTGATGCATCTATATTAAATGGACACAGCAGCCAATCAAATCCACCCCTTGTAGCCAATTGATCCAAATCATATTTATAATCTTTCATTTTTCACAAAAAAAAACAAGCAGAAACAAAAGTATTTCTGACATTATCCATGATTGAAGGTTAAGATAATAGTGAGAATGCTATAGTACTAATTCATACACGAGAATGTTAGTACTAATTACTAATTCATATTATAGGGGGAGGAAGTTCAGGGTCAGAGACGACAGAGGTCCTGTCTGTATTATCTTGATCTTTTTTCTCAAAAAGAGCCAATAAACCCGAAAACTCCTGCATTCCTTTCAATTCGAATCGTGTAGATTCTGCTGATGTAAGAGATGAACAGTAAGGGCAAGTGGTCCCACCGTAGCTAAACCAATCGCTTACACAAGTTTTACATCCAACGAGTCTCTGACAGCATGAAGAAACAATGGGGTCTCGTAAAATAGATTTGCAAATGGGACACTCAAACAATTTAATGACAGTTGCAATCCCCTGCTCAAATTTCTCTATAAAGCTAACTGCTCTATCAACTTTCTCCATTAACTCTACTGAAGCATTGGAAGTAGACACAAGATCATCACTATTACCCTCCGCGTTCATCAAATCAATAGCTGTCCCCGTGAACTTCTTTCCCGTTAACTTTTCATATTGGGATTTGGATGTCGCTAATATTTTACGTGTCGATTTCCAAAAATCCATGCAGCTTGTAGCTGGGTTGTCTAGAAGTGGATAGCACTTGCTGTCTAGTAATATGACTTCGTAGCCAGTTGTGTTCGAAAGAATTTGACACACAGATGAGGGCTTGCATGAACTACTGTCAATCAATACTTGCGTATGAGTCACAACATTATAACTAGGCACTGATTTAGCTTTAGAGTCAATTACAGAGCCGGATGATAAGCTAATGAAAATGATAGTCTTGTGATAGCCGCCACTGCCTGGCACTTTTTGACGGACAGCAGCCGGAAATGTAGGGGGATGGGGGAGACTAAACGACTTTCTCGCCGATGGCCCTGGCTGAGGATACGTGGGGTATGCACCGTAGGGAGTACTATGATGAGAAACAGGTGGGGAAGCCGCACTGGCTTGGTCCTGGACTGGCTCGCCCATGACTTCGTATGTGGCACCAATATTTAGCTGTGGGAACCTTCCAGAAACACCTGGAAATATCGCAGTCTCGTCATTCTCTTTCATAATATAGATAGTTCTTGCTTGTAGGTTAAAAAGAGCAGCAATCTTCTCTACCTGGAAAGTTAGGTAAACATTAGATAAGTATATGTGCTGATCGCAGTAGAAAGAGCATTACCTCAAGATCGCTCAAGTAAACTCCCACCTTCCTCCCTTGCCGACTCAGCTTCACGGAACCTAGAGAATTCGTAGCCATGACTGTATGAGTATGGAAGTTTAGCAGCAGAGCAGCCTTAGAGAGAGCATTCACAACATAAGATGGCACCCACAAGTTGCAACGTGGTCATAATTAAGAGGGTGGGGTCACAGTACTGTAATAATAATGTAATAATGAATAATGATTATGATTTCTGTGATTCTATCATTATAATGTATTAAGTTATGCAAAAATCATGATTATACATCAATTATCCAAAAACGAGAGAGATAGAGAAAGAGAGGGAGAGAGAGGAGGAGGAGAGAAGCAAAAGAACAATAGAACATAATTCCTGAAACTCTAAGCAAACTGCCCGACCTGTGTAAAATGTGTTGAAAACAGCAACTGTCGACACTATTGAATGAGACTCATGAAACGATGGTTTAGTTCAATGAAAAAAAGAATAGCATCTCTAAGCAAACTGCCCGATCCGTGTAAAACATCTTGAAAAATGTCACTCATTGATGGAAAGGACATAGAAAAATCTCTTTCGCGAAGAGCTTGCAAATTAGGAAAATCAGCTAATGGATCCTGCCCATAAATGAAATTACGAGAAAGACTACCGCTAGAATATTCATATTGATACACAGCAGATTCCAATGTTGGGATATGCGCTGGTGCAATCTGACCAAGTCGACACGAGTATTGAGCTAAGTAATTTGGAATACCACCTCTGCTTCCAGGAATAGTGTGTGCATTCCATGAGTTCACAAACATTTGAATTGGTTCAGATACAACCTTAATGGTAATCCACGAAGTACAAAACTTCACTGTATCATCACTTAAATTAATGACGCCACTATCTTCCAATTCAGTAAGGACTCTCTTTATAGGATAATTAATCCTGGCATTGATCTCTGGCCAGATTCTTTCTGCACGGTGATTTAGTCTTGATGTAGATTGAATAACTGCTTGACGGTGGTGACCACTACGAAAATTTGCTACAGTGTACTGGACAGAAATAACTAAAATAAACTCTGTTCCCTGGTCCATTCTCAACTGGTCCCAAACGCCATATTCGAGCATAATAGGACGAAACAAAAGGTCATATATCATTATTGGGTTCTTCTTTTGAATTGTAACAAATCCAACAATCTTACGGCTGTACCCGTCTATTGCTAAAACATGTACCACACCGTACATGTTTAGTTTTTCGTTTTGGTCGAAATGGAGCTTTTCTCCAAAAAAAGAAGCTCTGTATGGTATAGGGTTCAGATGTCTCATTGAAGTCAGAGCTCTCTGGTAGTGAGCAACGGGAAACAAACGTCGAAGAGCACTTCCTATTCTCCTCTGGCTGGCAAATATACCCTCAGACCTGAGCAACCCCTGTAAGGTGCGACGACCATATGAGTGCCCCACTGCGACAACACAGGCATAAATAACGTCCAGGAGGTCAGCATCACTGAGGTTATTTCGATACCTAATGCCTCTAAATGCACAAAAACGTCTGACACTTCTCACAGAAATACCTCGAGTTTGTAAAGGCAAAACGGATCTCAAAAAGTTGCTGACATCTCGATGAGTGAAACCAGCCTCAACTAGCATCCTTATCTCCCTCTGACATTGCTCCATCTTTACTTTAATTAAAATAATTAATAATGTGCTCCACTGCATGCTCCGCCCTTCAACCTAGCCCCCTAGATGGCCCTTGAACTTTTGGGTTTTCGATAGTCTGAATGCTGATATATTGCCTGTGCTGCTCACGCAGCACAGGCAGTCAGCTTTTACGTTAATGAGTTAGTTTATTGTGGTTGGCCGGAAGGTACACGCACCTATAGTGTCTACTGCGAGGTCTACTGAGCAGTTCTACTTTCTAAATAGCGACTGAGATAATTTAGAAAAAAAGCACTGCTGATAACAGCTAGTAATTGTAGTGCTACCAATATGCACATGTAGGGATGACAAAATTTGTCTTAATGCAATCATAAACATGTTGATCAAAGTATGGTAAATGTGCAATATATAATTTGTACATAAATAATAATAAAATTTGTCAATGAATTTATTAATTTTAAGATTTCTTGTGTTGGTAATAAGATAAATACATGACCCATCCTAGATACACTGCACTGATGTACGTCACTCTTAAAGCTGGAGGCACAAAGAAGAAGTTTAAAACCTAAGGAATAGAGCAAAATAGTACTAATAGTACAATTATAGATTTAAAGTGCCATAAAATGCAACACAGATGAATGCAAGATTAAAATTTGGCCAATTTTGTGTCAACTTCAAAGTTTTTTTGCATTAACACCCACACAATTTTGATCATTTCGTCAAATGTAAACCTAGCTACTCAAACTATATGCAGATATGACTGCTTTCAAAACTCATAAATCTAAATTATTATTTTAAAATATAAAACTTTGTACTGATATCAGTACATGGTGGCATTTTATAGAAAATGTCAAAACAATAATATTTTGTCAAATACCGTAGATCGGGAAATTTTCATGTTAAAAATAATTGGTGCGGAATTTTTTCAAGGTGTTTTATTTTTGTCTGTTGACCCATCTGTAAAATTTTTTTAACATGAAAAATTTTGGATGCGTCATAAACTGGACACATGGCTACTAACTCTTGATGATGATGAACAGCTATTCAATGGAAGTTGCTCGTGACAGCACTGAAACTGACAAGGAGCCTTTTGGGTGAGAGCTTCAGGCCATCTTTGGGCTTTTAGAAGAGCCTCATGTGTGCACCGCTGTAGTCTCGCAAGCCAGACCCTTCCCACCTACAGTCATTTGGCTGTAGGCTGGGGAATGGTCTGGCTAGCGAGACTAGCACCTCTGCACATAAGAATAATTCTGATAATCTTATTATTCCCTGTAGAAAATATTTCGTGTGTCAAAATTTCGTGGGTCACTTCAACTGTGAAAATATTTTAACAATGAAGATTTCCTGATCTACAGTATGCACATTCCTCACCTGTGCAGCTGGCCATACTATTAACTCGGTCTATAAAAATTATCAAAATGACAATTTAATATTATAACATTTGTGATGTACTTTATATACTGGCCAGAATTTCTTTTTCATGTCGTTATACGAGTCAGTCCAGTTCATACCACTCATTTTATTCATGCCTATATAATTTATTATCAGGACTTTCACTGAAAATTATAGACCCCCTAGGCGCTAAGACTGTTTTTAATGAATTATTTACAGCAGCCACCCACGAATAAAATTACTGACGGCAAGAAGCTCTCCACATCAAAGGCAGATCAAAGCCCAAGGTGCCGAAATGAAGCATAGCAATAAAACTATGCTGCAGCAAGTGTTACATGGTCTATATGATGTAGTCTGGCCTCCATACTTTCCATAAATGCTGCTTGTAAGCCTGTAGTACCTTGTAGCGCTCACAAAAATGGCCAAGCGGTGTCACCGCCTTTGATTTTCTTTGACCTTGAGGCCTTCTTGCCGTCAGTAATTTACATTGTGGGTGGATACCATATAGGAAAATTTTATTTATTATGAATGAATATCATTATTGTAATGATATTCATTGAAAATAATCTTAGCGCCTAGGGGGTCTATAGCTAATATAGGAGGTGCTAATGTGTTTTGAAATTGCATCAAGCACCAGACATCTATAATAATAATACGTACAAAAAAGAATTTGTACAATTGCATTCAATTAAACAGGCCATCAATAAATAATGTTAAATATAACTCCCGTAAAATTTAATTTAAGCGTACATACTCACCTAGAAAGAACACTATCACACAAGCAGGCCCATTGATGACCTCATCAAGGGTCACTTTCTTGAACACAGACACTACTCCTCTTCCAGGATACCTCTTGTCTAAAAACTTGAACCAGTAGTGCTCTGGGGGACCCAGTATAAATCCTATTACAGCCATTCTCTTGGTTCTTGCCCAGTCTATCTCCTGTTCGGAGTTCTTCTCATATTTCTGGACTAATAAATCACCCAGTGCCTCTAGGCCACAACTGACTACAGTGTTTGTGAAGAGAAGATAGCGAGAGAAGAGAGTGTCATAAACTAGCCTCCAGGCCATGTTGAGTCATATGGAATCAGGGTGGAGCTTTAGAAATTAATGAATGATGAAAGCCCAACCAGGAAATAGTAATGATACTTATCTGCACACAGCTGTGCTACAAAGCTGCCAACTCACAAAGGAAAGCCCAATTGCGATGATAGTGAATTCTTTTTCTCCCCTCTCTTTTTCTCAATGGCTCTCCTACCAATGAGAGCTCTACAGCGACTCCGCCACCTCAGAAACAAGCTATCTGCTCTACCTTCCTCTTCATCTGCTTCTTCTACTTCTTCTTCCTCTTCCTCCGGCAAGATCAGTAATGCCAGACTGCTGCTTATAAATACGGGTACCTGTTGCTTCCTTTACTCAATGGGAGATTTCTGCAGACAAAAGATAGAAGGGAACACCACTGACTGGCATAGGACCGGGCGAATGGGTGTACTTGGATGCTGTCTCGGCCCATTGGATCATTTCTGGTACACGGCATTAGATAGGCTGTTACCGGCAATCACAGCAGGGACTGTTGCCAGGAAAGTATTGCTGGATCAGCTCATAATGGCACCCATATGCTGCAGTCTCTTCTATCTAGGTAAAGTCTCATTTACACCATACAATAGTCAATTATCATGATAATTATCACCTACAATTATAGCCATGAACATACTTTATGATTTCTTATGTACATGCATTGTAATGGACTTATTATTGTGTATTACTGGCTTTAAGAATGCAAATTATAGTAGATATACATATACATGCATTGAAATTATAAACTACCTCACACTTGGGAAATACCTTTACATAGCTTGACAGGAAGTTTATAATGATATTTTCAATCTACAACTACTAGGCATGTCAGCTATGGAGGGACGAAGTCAAAAAGATTGCTTAAACGAACTTCAAGTGAAATTCTGGCCTACCTACAAGGTACATATAGGATCAGAGCAGTGAGAGAGACTTTGTTCCTATTTTGTCTTTAAGTAGTAAACATAGTCTGTGTTGTGTAAACTATATAGTTAGTACTCCATCAAACCTCCTTTCTTTGAAAAGGGAAGATTTAGTTATGATTATGTTTGTATGCAAATAATGATTTTCACTTCCAACAGCAAGACTGATTCATTTTGACAATATATAATTATGATTCATTTTGTTGACCTCAAACCTAGTTATGTTACTACTCCAGTAACTATTGGCCTTGTCCATGTTCAGATACTATACTTTTAGTTGGTATCTGTCATTCATTTTTGCTCAGTTTTGTGTGATTATAGTGATTCCCTGTTGATGTAGGTGGATTGGCAAGTTTGGCCAGCAGCTCAAATTCTCAACTTTTACCTAATCCCCCCTCACTTCAGAGTAGCCTACGTAGCCTCCATTACCTTCCTATGGACAGTCTATCTCTCTTACATGAAGCACAAAGTGAGCTTAACACAGCCAGTGTCAAGCTGAAATCATATTTCATACAATCATTTATATTGTTTTTAATTTATATCGTTTTTTTAGAAAATGTCAAAAACAGACTCTATGTTAATCCATTAATATTGTTTTAAATGTATCATACTTACATAATTAAAGTATAAGTAGTATTATTGTTTTAAAATGCGATTAGACTGATAACCATTTCCTTGTTTTTTGGCTCTGAGCAGTGAGCACATGCTCAACACGAGGGCGAGGCCGCTCGTGAATACCATTATGGGGGAGTGGGTGACAAAAATTAAGAGTCTATGTCTGTTTGCATAACATTTTAATCATAATAAAGCAATAAAAACACATCAGAGCAAATAGCAGAAGAGGTAGAGACATAAATGACTATAAATATTATTATTTTGATGAGTTGTTGCTAGTTTATTTCCAAGTGCAGTCACATCAGGCTTAACAACCCACTATAGAGCGGTTTATTGGTAAGCCTTCACTAGCACTCACAGAAGATAAACCAAGCATACAACGCCATCTTATTATAGTACGATTTAAGAGAGAAAGATATAAATAATAATAATGATAAGTGAAAAGAGTCTATGTTTCTGAAGACCACAATGCTTCCATGTCAGGTACAATGTCCTATAAAAATTGAGAAAATATAGCACAGCTTAAAGTTCAAAGCTAAAGTAAAACTGCCTACATACATAGATACATTTACTATTGGATGTATAGTTTTGTCCCCAAACTCTCTCTCTCTGTTTGGTTCGCTTACCAATGGTTGTGTTGTTGGTGAGTATCGTCTGAATGGCTTTCCATTTGCATCACATAAAAACTGAAAAGAAACGGAGAAAGAGAGGGAGAGAGAGAGTGGAAAAAAGAAAGGAATCTCTACTACACACAATCACACATTACAGAGCTGCAGTGATGCATTTAAGAATCTCAACAAACGTAGTAATAACATCATTAATTCATTACAACAAACACTGATTTTCACACTATACCTTAGCGTAGTTCCACTTTATGAAGCTATAAAAGAATAATAAAAACAGAGCATGTCAACAACTGTGCTACTATTAAACTTTGCTCACTTTCCAAGACTTCCTTTCAGTCTGGACTTCAAAAACTTGTACAGTGGATGAGCATCAGGACCATTCACGTCAATCTTTGAAAACATGTCGAACTCAACCCCAAAACGCCGTGCAAACTCCTTGATCTCTGCTTCACTCCCTTGCTCCTGAAAAAGAAAATTATTAACAAAACTACATGGTAGTATTATTTTGTTGCTGTAAAATGATATCAAAGCTAAGTTTTGTATTTAGTCTAACAAGTAATCATAGCAATGTTGTCCATGTTTATATCCATCATTGTACTTGGTCAAAGGCTTTTATAATTTACAAAATTGGCAACACTCGTCTTTACTCAATAATACTGTCACAGCAGTCACAAAAGATGATAAAGCCAAAATAAATTAAAAAATTTGTGTTCACTTTATATAAGCTATTGTACATTTTAGGCTAGATAGAATCCTCATTCTCAAGCAAAAGTAATAAGTACATGTACATGTACATACAAATGTATACATGCACATGTATATTCAGTGCTAAATACTGAGTAGTTGCAGTTAAAAAGCAATCAACGTAAAGGAAGTTAAAAATATGCAGCAATAATATGATAAAGGATGTGAAATCATCAGTCACAGTATTGCTTCAAAGAGACACCCATTTATTTGATATTGTCAGACAATTACCCTAATCACTACAAACCTATTCACAGGAAGAATTTGATTATAGCGTAAACTAAATAACACATACTAGTAATCAGTTCATAAGGTCCACCAAAGTATTAGAATGGGGAAATATACCAGTTCTACTAATACTAAACTAAACGGACACACATACAGGTAATAAATTTAATTTGTAGATGCATCAGTAAACCTGTAACATGCATATCAGACAAATCCAATAACCAACAAACCAACAAAATTATATTAAAATTGTTATTTGGTTAGCAGTATAATCCCCTACCTACATGTACAATACACTACTAAACCCCCTCGCTACAAGTATTAGTTAAAGCACTGTTGAGAGTAGGTTACGGAAATTATTTCACGAGAGGCGGTCGAGAGGAAAATGTAGCACGAGGCGAAGCCGAGTGCTACATTTTTGTCAAGACTGTCCCGAGTGCAATAATTTCCGTAATCTACGAATCAACAGTGCTTTGATTGGTTTGTAGTAGTGTGTGGGCGGATCAAATGAAATTTCAAAAGTCGCACAGGTGGCCAGCGCAAGACGATCAGATCTCATTTATCACTATTATTATTGTTACATGTCTAGTGCATGTAGCTATGGCT